CTATGTGTGCTTGCCATTTTACACTTAGCTGTTGGGACTTCCACGATGGAAGTTGGTGGGCGTCCCTCAGCACCATCCACTACTGGTTCCCGAAGCTGACTTATTGGTGGTAATTTTCTTACACTGGCTCCTCAGATGTCTTTGCCCCCCACAGTTCCAACAGCCTTTCTGGGTAGCAGCCTTTCCTGCTGTAGCATCTCCCCTGTGTTGAAGTTGCCAGCATTGAGCTCTCTTGTGCCCAGGTTTGTTTCAGTGCCAGCAAAGTCTCTCAAACTTCTCTGAAAGCTGACATATTCTGGCCTTGAATCCAGATGACTGTACCAACCTTGGTACCTCTGTGCTGGACTTAACGTAGGATTCAAATTCGAGAGCTCTGGCCATTGCATCCTGCATGGTTGAGGGGTGTGCTTGCTTCACTCGTATCTTTAGTTGTGGACTGTCCAAGGCATCTACGAACTGATCCCTCAACAACAACTTGAGGAGATTGGGTGGTGCAGTTGTGTAGGTCTTGTGTGCCATGCTTTCCAAGTCCTGTGCCAGCTCTTGCAGGCTCTCCCCTTTAGCACGGACTTTCGTCCTAAACCTAGCCCTGTAGACTTCTGACTGATTTTGGGATACTATACCTGAGTTCTAGAGCCGCTACCAGTACTCTATAGTTGTGCCTGACGTCTGCTGACAACTGTCCAAGTATTTCCAGTGGTTGTCATTTCAAGCTCGTTGCCAGATATACTGCTTTCTGCTCCTCTGTCCATCCATTCATCTCTGCCAGTAACTCAAATTGTGCTCTATATGCTTCCCACGGTGCTTTCCCATCGTATTCCTGTGGCTTCCTTCGTACTGGATCACTCCTAGTACTGACATCATATCTGTGATGTGACTTCTAACAGGACTGAATATGTCTGCATTAGGGTTTAGCTGCAGGGTCTGGAAGGGGCTTGTCATTGTCAGGGGCTGGTTAAGTCGATGGTCAATGTATCCACCTTGTGTAAAAGACAATGAATCATCCTTTAATGTATCTAATTCGCTTTTAAATTTACTAATGTTTTCCATTTGTACTTCTTGTTTCTTTTCTTGTTCCAGTTGCCACTATTGTAGTCTGTCTTCTTGTTTCTTTTCTTGTTCTTCTTGTTTCTTTTCTTGTTCTTCTTGTTTATTTTCTTTCTCCTCCAACAACTGCTGTAGTCTCTCTTCTTGTTTCTTTTCTCGTTCTTCTTGTTTTTTTTCTTTTTCCTCCAACAACTGCTGTAATTTCTCTTATTTATTTTGCTGTTCGAGCTGCCATTGTTGTAGATTTTCTTGCCACTGCTGTAATCTTTCTTCTTGTTTCTTTTCTTTTTCCTCCAACAACTGCTGTGATCTCTCTTCTTGTTTATTTTGTTGTTCGAGCTGCCACTGTTGCAGGTTTTCTTGCAACTGCTGTTGTCTCTCTTCTTGTTTCTTTTCTTGTTTATTTTCTCGTTCTTCTTGTTTCTTTTCTTTTTCCTCCAACAACTGCTGTAATTTTTCTTCTCGTTCTTCTTGGTTTTTTGCTGTTCTTGTATTGCTGCCATCAAATCTGCTAAGCTGTAGTTTGATTTTCCACCTGTCGTTTCCATTTTTTTTGTCCCACTCTCTGACACCAATTTGTTATGTCTCTGGTCGTTAATTAATTTTTCGTAAATTCGTTCCGACGAACTTTAGCGACACAAGTCCTTTCTTAAATAAAACTGGTTTATTCTTTCTGAATATAACTTTGCGATACACTTAATTTCAACAGTTGCGCTATAACAAACGCTATAATTCTCAACGAACTTCTCACGTGCTCAACAATATTCTTACTCAACAATACTCTGTCCACAGTTCAATTACACATACACTCTCTGTCTCGTCACGTTGAGACCGTCTTATATATACAAGACTAACACATATCTAGTAAACGCTAGAGCATTCATGAAGGAACAGGATATTTCTAGAAAGACGTGGCGTGATACTAGTCACGTGACATCACCGACGCAACAGTATACTATATACATCATCTTCCATACTCCAGTTTAGTATAAACTGTTATAGTACTTGGTGGTTATAAAGTGTTGATTGGTATTTGGAAGTCTACAAGGTGAATCCTGTAATGTATACTATATACATGATCTTCCATACTCCAGTTTAGTATAAACTATTATAGATACAGAATGGTTATAAAGTGAGGATTGGTAATTGGAGCAGTCTGCAAGGTGAATCCTGTAACATATACTATATACATGATCTTCCATACTCCAGTTTAGTGTAAACTATTATAGATACAGGATGGTTATAAAGTGAGGATTGGTAACTGGAACAGTCTGCAAGGTGAATCCTGTAATGTATATTAAGCTGTTTTATGTACAAGCATAAAAAATCATGAGAAGTGTATTCCACTGGTTATATTAGCGCTCTGTATTTACTTTAGTTATTATTCTAGTTGAGTAGGCAGTACTCATAGTTAAGTTACTATAATATACATTTGTGTGGAATAACCATAAATTCATGATGTAAATATATCTCTATTTGTTTCAGATAAACTTCTTAAAACAGTTCTGATATTTACAAAAAGTCTACATTTACTACATTTCTTTTAATTGTTATTAGAAAGCAAACAATGGCTAAACAATTTGTTGTACAGGTGTTGGGTTTACACAACTATAAAACAAAGGTGAATTCCTAGATGTTTGGGTGTAATGGTCTGTGATTTAATGTAATTTTTTTTTTTTTAAGTATCTCTCATGGTTAAAAGACAGAGAACATTAATAGAATTGTTCATATAGTGTATCTAAACCAATGTTTGATTCATAAGAAGTTCAGTTGGTAAATGTAATTTGTCTTGATTTCATAGTGGGTAGCTTTTAATGAGAAATTTTATAGCCTTATATTGTACCACTGTACTAGTATTTGGTTCAGCACAACCATAACACAAAATTTGATTATCTGTTCTGAGTTGCTGTTGTTCTCTCCTGATTTCTTTTAATGATAGTTAAAAGATTAAAGTATATATTTAATAATTTTTCTATTTTTGGATGGTATTTAAAATACCTCTTTTGATTAATTTTCTCCTTCTTTGTCCCCATATATGTATTCCCCTAAAAAAGTGTGTGTTTTTTATTGCAAAGTCACATTGGGCTATCTGCTGTGTCCACCAAGGGGAATTGAACCCCTGATTTTAGCATTTAAATCCGAAGACTTACCGCTATCTCATTGGCAGACCCCCTAAAAAACAAAACAGATACTATTCTTAAAGTTTGTATTATGTGTTTAAAGTTTAATGAATAAAATAACGTAAAGAAAAAAAAAGAAACTTTTTAATAACAGATTCATATTTGTCCTACTTGAATTGTCTACCTGGTATCAAATTGTTCCCAAGCACCATGTGTGTGGGTGAGTAGACTTGTGAATATAATTTTTTTACTTGTTTGATTTTTCACTGAGTATTAGATTTTAAAATCACACTATTCTGGATTGATATTCTCTATTACAATGACTTTTACCTTGCATGTAAAGAAAAATACAGATATTATTTTTGAGGAATTATTCTATTATTATTTTGTGGCTCATTTGGTGTAAATGACCTATCTACAATAGGTGGAACGAAGTGGAATGAAGCAGAAAATCACTACTAAGAAACAAATTACATCTATGCAAGTAATTGAAGAGCCAAGATCTTCAGCTTCTAGCAGTAAGTCACAACATAAAGAAAAAGCTGTGACACATAAAGAGAGTCATGGAGAGAAGGTGATGACTTCTAAGCAGTCAGAACAGAGCACTACCAGACACTACCATGAAGTTAATGGAGTATCAGAAAATGAAAAGGTAAGGTTTTATAATTTATTAGTTCATTATCAAGGGAAGCATAACTTGGTATAATTAAAATAACCTGCTAATGTGTAAATTTTGCTGGTTTCGTAAGAATCAAGTAAAAACTATTGAGTTAAAGCTTGTGAATCAACACATTTCAGATTTATAAGATGATTAATAATATCATTGTTTTAATTCTAAAACAATCACAAGGTAGTGTGGCCATAATATTATTCACAGATTTGAAGAGTGACATTCACAACTCACATCTACTAATCAAATGTTCAATTCCAAAATCTTTAGTTTTGCATCATGTATGAACTTAATTTGAGTTAATTCATTAATTCTATACTTATTATACAAGTTAAGGCTAATTGTTATATTTCTGTTGTATTATTAATGTGCTGTTTACATGAGTAAGGAAGCACATTATGCTAATATAATAATAAGTTTGCAATCAACGATTTATAAGCATAATGAAGTGATTTATATTTGGGATATACCTGAAGAAGATAGACCAATATTCTATAGAAACATGTAGTACAGTTTGCCAAATTATTATAAAAATGAAATTTGTCAGGCAGTCTTAGTTACAGAGTAATTCTGCGTGTTTCAAAGTTACTTTAGCTTGAGCGACTATATCTGTGCAGTTAATGTTATTTTGTGCATGTTGTTTATTTTTGTTGCCAGTGTATATCTACATGTTATTGCTTGAATGTTTCTTCAGTGTATGGAGTATTTTAAAACATAATTTTTTCTCATATAAAGTTAGTTGTATCACCCTATGGTGACTTACCTATGTTTCAATAATATTAATGATTTAGGACATCATAATAAAAGAACAACAATCAACCAGTTTGGGAATAAGTTTTACAAGGCCCTATAATCCCCTGTGGTAAGCTATATTTAGCTACCCAAACTGTAACAACTACAGTGCTACCTATGAGCAACTTATGGAATATATACATCTAAAAATTCTAACTCTTGTGCTGCCACCTAGTGGCACAGCGGTTTTCAGATAGACCATAGTGTAGCTTTGTGCTTAAAAATAACAAAAATTACTTTTGTGCTTTTTTTTATTACAGTATTTATTTAAATGTATATTGACACAAGTCAGTATTCTGATATGAGATAGTTGCATAGTTTTTGTTTTTATCATAATATTTATAGAGAAAGCAAAATATCAATTTGCATTTAGATCACATGGTGACCTGCTGATTATTTTCTTGAAGGTGTTGAAAGTAAGTAAACTGTTTCAACAAACTTAGATTGTGTTACATTTTTCCACATTTAATACTTCATTATTTTTGTACTGAGTTACAGTTGTCCTACTTAAAATAGATGTATTTTCTACAGCGTTCAGTTCACTGCATGTACTTGGTAGTTTGAATAATAGTGCAACTTGGCTATGTTTTTAGTGCATGAGCTTGTCTTGTACATTTAAATTTTGTGTTCAGAAAAGTGCAACTTAAAAATAATAAGAAAATTCAAGTTTTATTCTGGTAGGATAAGTAAAAGTTTCTAAATACTCCATGAAGTAATGTTAATACAGATATAACTTATTTAAAACAAAGAAGCATCTGATTATCCACCATGTGATCTGAATTGCAAATGATTAATCATTCAGCTTGTGTTCTTAAATTTACATTTGACATATGTGGCTTTACATCTTTACATTTCTTGGAAGTTTTACTTCAATGATCAAAGTTCATATTCTTCTCTTTCTCTACATATTAAAAATTTTGAAAATATAAAGAACATGACTGTACTAAAACTTTAGTTTCACTTCAATATGGAATATAGCAGCCACAACTGGAAAGGACACCAATGTTATGTGTTTTAAAAAAAAGTGTTAAGAAGTTTCTGGGGTATCCTCAATCACTTATCTGAAAAAACTATTTCAAGGGCATCTTTAGTGCTTTAATTAACTTGATGATAAACGAAACACATCCCATGTAATGGAAGTAAACTTTTCTTTCGGTGAAATACATTCCACTGGGTGTCTGGCAAACAGACCAGCCTAGCGAAGTCTTTTTCTAAATATATGTACATTAACATGTGAGATGCAGCTGCGAAGTTCTGGTTCAGTAAGGTATCACATGATTTTAGCAAACCAGAATCAATAAATAGTGGTCATCTCTTTTAGTTGAGATTATGGTGTCTTTTTCAGGTGTTTGAGTAATTTCACCATTGTTTCAAAGACAGTTCCACATAATGCTAATACTTGAGAAAGTGATAGCCAATTTGCAACAGCTTGCTTTGATTGACATTCATCTAATGGCTCTCCGTATGAGTGGAACATTCATTATTTGAGGTATAGCCATGGTTAATAAACAGTTAGAATTTTAAGCTCTGTTATTCACTTCAAGGTGACAATAGAGACTAGATTGTGTGAAACCACTATATATAGTGTACACTGACTTATCATAAACTGACTGATTTACATAACAGTCAACTTGAGGAAGAGGTTAGATATTATTTTGTAACACAGATTTTTGCCTTGTCTTAGCTGTGATTTTATAAATTTCACTTATCTTTTAATTATGTTGCAGTACAGATATTTGATTTAAAAATAAGGGCACATTTCTATAAGAGGAATTCTTTTTCTTTAATTTAGGTTCAAACCCTGCATATAAATATGTTGTTTTGTCAGTTAACTGCATGTTAACATGGATGTAATGTTTATGTAGCTGAAGCCTTTTTACAGTAATAACACAGACCTGCAAATTTAAACTTCATAAAAGTTGTTTTGGGTTTAGTAATGGATTTTTCATAATTAAGCTATGCAGATTTCGAAAATAATATTAATTTTTTTAATACCATCTAAGGATCTTTTACAAATCAAGAAAAAAGAAAACTGCTACTTAGATCAAATTATTATTTTTGTACCACAATGAACACTTTTTATTATTATGTTTGTTAACAAAAATACAAACAAACTGTAGAAAAGGGAAGAACATTGATGTGAAATGAATATGCATTCTCATTCATCCTGATTTTTTTATGAAATCTATGTCTTTTAGTCTCAAAACTACGTGTTGTGGTCGTACTTTTATGTACTGCATTATGACATTTTGTGAAAAATCTGTATGTGATGGAGAAAAAATGGATATCATTTTTGGATTCGGCATACAAGAATTACTGCAGAATATGTAAATATTTCAAGACAATAAAACCATCTCAGGCCTGTGTAATCTAAGTGGTAGTGATTCTGAAACTTATGGTCATGAAGTGGAAAATGAAAAACTAATTTCTCTCATATCTGTGTAAGAAACTCCTCTATAGCTATTGATCAAACATTAATTTCTACATTTTTGTAAGTAAGCTTGAAGATCAGAAATGAATCTTACAGAAGTATATTGATTGAATACTAGATTGTGAAAAACATTCAATCAAGACCTTTTATTATGGCACAGAAGTTTACTGTGTCACAAAAAGGTAAGTCTTTGTACACCTTGCATCTTGCATTGAAGAACAAATATATAATTAAAGTCTAAAAAAGTTAGTTAAATTTTAGCATGATTATTTTAAGAACCTGGCTCATTCTTCAATCAGTGTATAAAAAAACTGATTTCATTTTAACCTGATTTTCATCATGATTGTCATATGGTAAAATCTCATATGAGTTATTTAAGGTACAGTGAGAGAAATCTTGTAATATATGTAACTCTCAATCATTGTTAGATTTCATGTATATGCATAAAACTTACCTCAACTTGCATGCAGTGTATGCCTGTCAACACCATTACTTTGAGACTGTTAACCATTTCTCTTGAATTGTATAGAACAAGCCAAGAATGACTGGTGATGGTTATTAGAGCTGGGCAATTAACTCATTTAATCCATGTAATCAATTATCTGTAAGCATCAATTCGTTTGTTTTATGTCACATAAAATAGTTGATTGGTTGAAATTATGATTAAATTGATTAATGTCACAAAAAATAATCAAGTAATTGAAATTACTGTTTTCGATTATTTCAACTATCCGAGTAATTGGAATACTGCCATTATGATTTCTCATTATTATTTTTGATTAATTTAAGGTTGTTCAGCTTAATCGATTAGTGTCATAACTCATGAAAATAATCAACTAATTGGAATTAATGTTTCCAGTTATTACTATTTCAATTATTGCAACTATCCAGGTTTCCTGTGAGAATAATTATTAACTGAACTTAATTGATTAATGGTGTAATCTAGTAGTTGAACATAATTGATTAATGGTGTAATCTGTTAGTCGAACATAAGTGATTAATGGTGTAGTGGAAAATATAAATTTCCAACCTGAGCACATCTTTTCTGATCTGACTGTATGAATATTTTGTATTAGAAAGTGCTGTTACATACCCTTCTCAAAAGTAATCAATTTTTTCTGACATCACTCCACCTATGAAACATAAAACAGTATCAAAATGTAGTTCTGATACATTCTGTTCCATCTGTTCCACTGCAAATTTATATCAACTGTGAATTGCCGACTTGCGTATTCAGAATTGTTTTTATATAACATAGTTGATCCCCTGTAGTTTATGGGTTTTTGAAACACTGCACTGTTTTAACCTTTTTCACCTATTTACATTTGAAATCACACATTATCTTATCAAAATCTTATTATACTCAGCTGAGAAATACAATATATATATTTATATTTAATAGAAGTAAAATGTTCTAAATAGATGTCAAGTCTTACTGAGACCCAGAAGAAAAATATCAGCGTTGTGGAGAAAGAACCACTGAAAGAAGTTAAACCTTCTGTTGATAGAGCCAAAGTGACTCGAACCTTCAGTCAGGTACAATTACAACAATTAACTTAATGTAGAATTCAAGTCGATATTTCTTATATTATTGTAGTGTGTTTGTATCTTGAAGGGACTTAAAAACCTATTTCACAACTATCAAAGTTTTGAATAACTATAAAACTTCTGTATGGTCATGTTCTTTATTGGGTTGTTACTCACATGTTGCATATATAAAACGTCTTACATCATTATTACAAATTCTTTGAAATTGGGTTTTAAAATACTGTTAGTGCCCTATGGAGCTGAAGTGAATGTAGACTGAGAAGCTTACAGTTCACATATTGGTACATGTTCTTTTGATTTAGGACTTCAAGAAAAATATAAATAACAATTATTTGAAGAAAATAAAATTTCTGTAAGGAAGGATTTAATACATATAAAATATGTGGGTTGAATTTAGTTATTTGTCCACCAGTTGTAGTTGAGTGGAAGAGAAATTTTGTTATCAACATTTTATTTACAGAAGTTTAAATTATATATAATATTGTTGCGTCAGCGAGGTCACGTGACTAGTATCACGCCACTTCTTTCTCGAACCTTCGTGTATTGTT